AATTTATAAGAAATACTATAAACGTTAGAAAATTGAGGAACAATTAGGATTTTTGCCTTATGGTGAAAAAACTTTGAGAGTAATATGTCTTCCCATAGCGTGAGAACCATGTTCAAATATGATCAATTAGGAGAATATGAAATAACCATGAACGGGTGTCAATTCTATGAATAAGAATATGAATTGTGATTATGCTTCTTAAATAGAGTGGAGATCATTTATAACCAGGTATTGAGGGTATCCGTATTGGTTTAGAAGTAATAATTGCTTAGAAAGTTCATAATTAGAAATACTCATTGAGTATGTTGTACTTGGGTGATCTTATTTTGTTCTGGGTTTAGTTCACTACGCTTAGACTCTCTAAAGTTATTAACAAATGGGAATCTCTAGATTGAGTGCGGATTGATAGTTGATTTTATATGCATAGAATTTAATTGAAAACAGTGGCAAAGGTATGGAAACAGACTTAAGAAACTTATAGAAAGAAAATCTAGGAAGTTTGATTAAATTTTAGTACTTTCCTTTGACCCCCAATATTGCTAGACTAAAGACTATAGATGTTCAAAAGCTTGAGGTCAAATATATGGGACAATTATTGGGATAAAGAAAATACCCAATGCTTGGTGTGAACTTTATTGGTGCATGAGATCTATTAATATAATTGGTGTTGTGTCGTCTAGTATAGAGTTTTCCTATGTCTCTTAATACATCATTAAGATAGAGTTGAATACATTAGAGTTGAAATTTTTTGGTTTGAGTATTGAAGATTATATCTGTTCAGTTGGGTGTGATGATTGGAAGGATGTAATCCAAGGACTCAATGTTGATAACTATGCATATTGACTTTGACATGAGTGGAAAAACTGTTAAGCGAATTTTGATATAAAAGACTAATGTTATCCTATTAACTAGAAAATTATTATCAACTTGGGGATTAGGAATAATTGTTAAGGCTATGACAACAAATACGGCTAAATTGAGGAACATTGGTAGAATCATCTGGAGTCTTGCTTTTTGGCTATGATTATATTACAGTAAATCTTTTGGCATTGATTTGAGAGAGATTATTGGTATCCTTGGCAGTCAATCTTTACTTTATAGTATATTACAAGATATATTTGCATCGGATTGAATCATAGGGAGTCAAAATTATATGTAATGTGAATAAAATAGAGAGGCTTGTGAAAGTCGTTAGGGATTGATTTCAGTGCTTGGTGATTCTAGCTCAAGGTTAGAGATTGAGAATAAATTCTTTGGAGATAGAGAAACGAATTAGTGTTAATCGAGTTGTTGAATAATGTGGAGATATTAAGGTTGATCTAAAAGTATGAACCTGGATGCATGTGAATTATGATGGGAATTGTAAGGCTTATTAATTTAAGGTCAATATTGGGGATTGGAAACAAATATATTGGAGATGTAACTAGACTTTAACTTAAGTATTATATTGGTTTATTTGATAGAGTCCCCTTTGGAACGAATAGATGGGTCGTTAGTATTATATTTTGGAAGTTATAATCAGAGGACATGTAGGGTTAGGTTTCAATTGTACACTGTGGTGGAATCTGGCATATCTTCACAAACCCTTTGAATCTATGAGAATTCTTATCTTGTGGCTAGTTTCAACTTATGGATTGATGGATTATAATTTATATCATAGTGTATAGTGAACTATTTGATTAAATTTAATATTATAAGGATTAACCATTAGTTACGGTTACAATGGTGAATATAAAGATTATAAGCTTGAAACGTGAGAATCAATCTCTTTGATAACTACGTGTGCAGTTGGATGGTTATAACTATTGGAAGCATCGTGGTGTCCATTGGACCGCCAAGAATTATGTTTGTCTATATGATTGAATAGTACAAGAGTTTCACGGTACCCGGAACAACTATAATGACGAGATGTAACATGAGGAAAATTGAACTAGAGTATAGTGAGAAATTGCACATGGGTGTGCAATCTAAGAGTTGATTCTAAAATATTGATTTATGTAGGAGTGCGTAGTTGGGAATCAAACTTGTTATTGATTGTGAGTTTCTCTAGGCTAGTGAAAGACAAAGTCATTAGGAAGATGGTATCTATTTTAGTAATTAAGGTAAATCTTATCGTAATGTCGCTACTAAGTTTTGTGTTACACCATGATTGAAGTATAGCAAAGATGAGTAATCCTATTAGTGGAATTGATTTTGATTTGTCTTGATATGCATATGTTTAAGCTACATGTCAGAACCAATCATGAGACCTAGTTAAAAGATTGGTGAATTCAAAAGAGAAGTGATATTTGATGAGTAGATAATAAGTTGATGATCTAGAAGTTATGCATGATAAAAAAAAATTAGTTAGGACAAATGTATAGAATTATTGAGAATAATGAATAGTTGGTACTTGAGAATAAAGGTGATTGATGGATTCTAGTTAATGAAGGAAAACCAGGGAACATTTAATAACTACAATGATGGCACAAACATTATGGGATCCTTGGTATAAAAATGAGGTGATAATAAGAATAGAACTGATGGGAAGGATGAAATTTAAAAGAAGGAATGTCGACAACTTGAGTGGAGTAGTGATGACTTAAATATAACATCTATTGGTTACAAGTTGAAGGGATGTATTTAAAATTTAGAATATGGAAAATCTATTTTGATCTTGGATTTGATGCCTAAAAGATGAATTGACATTGAAAGCTTGTGGCCAATTGGGGGGTGGGTTGACGGTTAAGTTTTGAGGATGAAATATTCTTTTAGGGGGGTGGGTTGTAAGACCCCGTACTATAATTACATAAGTATAATATCATCTTAAGAGTTCTCCCAAGATGAATAAAAGTATGGTAGAAACTTTGAAGCCTTGTTAAAAGATTTATTATGAAGTTTGAGTTTCGAGCGTATTGACTTTCAGGTGAAATTTAGATTCAGATGTGTTTAACCTTGAAAAGGGTAGCTAGGTAAGTTTATGTATTTTTTTTAAGGTCAAAATACCCCCACCATTGAACAAGAAGGTCAAGAAACATTAGGAGAGGTGATATGGGGTGTATTAGAAGTTTGTACGTATTCTGGAGTTACAACACATTTTGGAGATAATTCAGATAGGAAAGGATTTGACAATACCTCAATATTTTGCTCAAAATATTTTACCCTGATGTTCGATTGATCTCATTTTTAAACTAGACTTTCAAGGATACAAAAGTGTATTTCATGAAAATTTCGTGAGTCGACTTCTAACTAGGATAAAACTTAATTTCAAGTTCAAGAAGAAATTGCATCACATTCGAACGCAAATCTTTGTTCGAACTCAGAACATTCGAACATGAATGCGCATTTTGTAGCGATCCAACTCAAACTGAATGAATAGGTTTTGACCCTATAAATACCCTAAGGACATTCTTTAGGTATGTTTTAGTAGCCTCCAACCCTAGGAAACTTTGAGGAAAAGATAAAAAGGAAAATGGGCTAAATCGTAAAGGATTAACGCAAGGAAATCACACCAAAAAAGATCAAGATCGAAAAAATTAAGGTAGAGGTTCTTTATCAAGCTCATTCACTGAGATTAGGGCTATGTATTTGTAACTTTTTCATCTCTATTACTGTGATGCACAAATTGGTCTCGTGCAAGATAAACAGTCGAGTATATGTAAGGGTGCAATTAATGAGCAATAAATAGGTAATCAATGGCAAAACGGTAAATATAAGCAAACACGTTAATATATAGTGGTTCAGTCTAGGTGACCTACTCCACTCGAAAAACAACAGCGATGGCCAAAAGTGTTTTATTGATGAATAAAGTAATCGGGAGTATTACAGTGCTTTAGGAGACAGAAACTAGGGAGGTGTAGAGAGGATAAGAAGTAAACGTCCCAAAGCCATGCCTTCTATCTGGAGAGGGCTTATATTATATAGGTATGGTGCGGCGGTGAGGCAGTGATGTGAGGGAGAGGGCACTATTGTTTTGGTAAGTACAATCAAGGTTGGATTGGATTTTTATGAGTACGTATCCCAATAGTTTCTCCCACATGCTCTTATCTCTCTGGGCTTCTTGGATCCTGAATTGGTTCGGACTGGATCGGACTGGCAAAGTGGGTCTGGGCCGCCCTTTAGTTGACTTAGGCTTTCTTGACTTATTGGGCCTGGCCAAGTTGATTTTGGGCTCATCATTTGCCCCCATGCCGCAAGCCTCCAACTGTTTGCGAGAGAGGGGTTGAGGGCATAAGCTTCTTCTCTATTTTAGTGAATGGGAGTTTTCTTGCTCCCCACGACTCCCTTTCTTTTTCAGGGACTTTCTGTTGAATCTACTGACATCGGATAATTTTTGTATTTTTAGGCATTCCTTTTGCTAGGTCTTTGTCAATAAATTGAGGTCTTTAGTCTCTCCAACCTCATTTCTCCCTTTATTTCTTTAAGGCTTCTCCTAGAAGCCTTTCATTTTTCTCAAAGGCTTTTCCAAGAAGCCACTCTTCAAAGCTTATCTTGGAAGCCATCTTCAAGGCTTCTCTTGGAAGCTATATATTCCCCAACCCATTTCTTTCCCTTGGTCTTCTCTCTTCTAAATCAAAACAAAGCAATGGAGACTATGAGCTCGAAGATTTGTAGAGGAGACCTCAATGGCGTTTCAACAAGAAAACAGACAGTTGGAGAAGAGGAACAAGGAGGAGCCTATGACCTTGGTCTCATAGGTGGCGCCCATGGTGGTAGGCTCACTGTTGGAGACAACAAAACCTTGATGGAGAAAGAGGAGGGCAAGAGGTCCATGTCCATGCCTCATTCAGCGCTATGGGATGCGGCCAAGGTGGTGAGGCCGACTTCTATGGCCTAAAAGGCATTAAGGGAGGCGCCCAAGGTGGTGAGGCCAACACCAATGGCCTAGAAGGCATCAAGGGATGCACCCAAGGTGGTGAGGCTGGCACCCATGGCCTAGGAGGCATCAAGGGAGGCACCCAAGGTGATGAGGTTGGTGCCCATGGCCTAGGAGGTATCAAGGGGGTGCCCACTATGATGAGGCTGGCACCCATAGCTCAAGAGGCCTCCATGGAGGCGCCAGGGGTTTGCGCAGTGAAGTAAAGGAGCAAGGAGGAGACCCAAGGGGACTGGGCAGTGCCTGCCATGCACTGGGAAGCACTAGCAGCGCACTAGGTAGCATCAGTGGTGTGCCAGGCGGAGGCTAGGCGTTGACTTTTGGGTGCTAGGATGGGTAACGCATTGTGTGCTAGGTTGGGCGGGTCCAAGAGGAGGCTGGGCACTGGCTGGAGTATCAAAAAATAATAAAAAAATTAGTAAAACTTTGAACGGCCATAACTTTGCACTCGATTGTCCGTTTGAGGCAATTTTTTTTTAATTTGGGTATTTTTTCGAGATCTACGACATACAAAACATTAGTGAAATCGATGGGGGTGGAAAGCTACATTCTGGCAGGCAACTGTCGGGCATTCATGGGCGACTGATTGACATTTTGGGTATTTGCCAGAGAGGGAGACTATGATGGCTTTTGACTAGGTAAGAGGCGAACCCACTTTCTCCAATACTGCTCTCTCCTTTATGTTTTCTTGATGCTGGTTTTTTATACTGACCTTGTATCTAATTACAGACGCCATGTTGATAAGGCGATGATGGAGACTCTTTATGTTTTTAGGGTAATGTCTTCCCCTCCTCCCAAGAGGGCAAGGTTTGATGCCCCCAGTACTTTTCGGCCAAGGTCCGATGGCCAGGTTACTTCCCAGGAGCGGGATCTGGTGGTGCCCCCACTCCTTCCCAAACTGGAACTTTTGTATGTACTAGAGCAAGCCTTTTACCATTGTAGGAGTTAAGACTCCAGTGCGGTCTTTTACGGGGAGTGTAGCTCCACATAGCCGTCTTGTTTCTAGTAGTGGCTCAGTGTCCATGCTCTAGCTTGACTTTAGTGAAGGAACAACTTTGGGGATCCGTGACTCTCAAGGACATCAGAAAGGTTGGATCTCGAGGTCTAGAGGGCATTATCAACTTTGATTTTATACCCGTCTCCTTTCCTTCATATTATGCTTTTTGAATACTTGTTGGTGGCCATTTTTCCTTACCTTTTTTCAAGAATGATCAAACTTGGAGAGGCATCCATGGGTCTGGCGAAAGAGAGGTGGCCTTCAAAAGAATACTGAGGAGCAAATGAGTCTTGCTCATAAAAGAGTCGCCCTTCTTGAGATCGAGCTTTTTGGTATCCCACAAGAGGGCTAGGAAGTTAAAGGTTGATAAAGAGACTGTCTACATAAGAGTAGAGTCAGAGCTGCGAACATTCAGTGAGATGGCTGCAGGAGCTAAGGCTGAGTTACGTATAGCTTGGGAGAGAGTTGCTATGGCAGAAGCTTGTTAGGAGACAACCTGCACGAGAGTGGAGTCATAGCTGTAAACATCTCATAAGAAGGCCATAGGAGCTGAGGTCGAGCTACGTATAGTCTTGGGAGATGGATGTCATGGCAAAGGTTTGTAAGGAGACTACTTGCACGAAAACAGAGTCATAGCTGCAAACGTCCCATGAAAGGGCCACAGAAGCTGAGGCCGAGCTACGTATAATTTTAGGAGATGGCTGTCTTAACAGAGGCTTATAAGCAGACTACATGTATAAGAGCAGAGTCATAGTTACAAATTTCCCGTGAGAAGGCCGCAAAAGCTAAGGCCAAGCTACGTATAGTCTCAAGAGATGGCTACCGTAGTAGAGGCTTATAAGGAGACTACCTACGTAAGAGTAGAGTCATAGTTGTAAACGTCCCGTGAGAAGGCCGTAGGAGCTGAGGCTAAGCTTCGTATAGTCTCAGGAGATGGCTGTCGTGGCAGAGGCTTACAAGGTGACTACTTGTGCGAGAGCAAATTTATAGCTATAAGCGTCCTATGTGAGGGGCGTAGGAGCTAAGGCCAAGCTAAGTATAGCCTCGGGAGATGGCTATCGTGGTAGTGACTTACAAGGTAACTACTTGCGCGAGAGTAGAGTCATAGCTACAAGTGCCCCATGAGAGGGCTGTCAGAGCTAAAGCCTAGCTACATATAGCTCGAAAAATGTTTGTCGTGGCAGAGGCTCATTCCATTGAGATAGAGATGAGGAGGGCTCCTGCTAAAAAGGCCACTGTTGATTTCTTTGGCTTCATCCCTTATGAGGAACCAACAATAATTGGTGATGGGGAGAGCCTTAATGATAGTTGTTGTGGCTTGGGGAGTAGTGACTGATTGTCGGGAGTATAACGACTGTTGTCTTTTTATCTACCTTGTTGTTGGTTCATGTTCTAACTTTTGTAAGCTGTTTGTAAATTTTAGGAAAGCAAGACAATTCGGACACAATAATCTTCGCAGAATTTTAGGAAAGCAAGACAATTCTCTGTCGTTCTTGTCCTAACCAGGTAGCGGGGCTTGTCCTCTACCAGCAACGTACTGCCTCAAATGGCCATATTTTATGAGTTCCTCAATTTTCCTTTTAAGATCAAAGCAGTCATCAGTGTCATGCTCGTCGTCATGATGGAAACGACAATACTTGTTCGGGCTCCTCTAGTTCGGGCCGGTCTTCATCTTCTCTGGCCAACGTACTGTAGGATCATCTTGTATTTGGAATAAGATATGCTCCACAGAAGCATTAAGCGACGTGAAGGCTTCCCGCTCTCTTAAAGGCGAGGGACCAAGGCGGTCCTTGACAGAGATTCTCTCTGTCCTATTCCTTTTATTCCCTGCTTCTCACTTGTCCTCACGGGTGTCCTTCCTCTTCTCGCCCCTATTAGAGGACTCACCTCATCTAGCCTTGGTGACATCCTTGGCGTTTATATACTTTTGTGCCCTTAGCATGGGTATGCTGGAGGGCGGCTTCTTGAGGATAGAGAATATGAAATTGGAGGTGAGAAGACCAACTATAAAGGTGGCCAAGGCTACCTTACCATCTGGCTCCTCAATTTGGAGAGCCTCCTCATTGAAATGGATGAGGTAGTCTCTATGGCTTTTATCCCTGTCCTACTTGATAGTGGGCAAGTGGGTCACAGGTTTCTGATGTCGGCGTCCCCCAATGAAGTGGGAGACAAAGGATTTGCTTAGCTCCGCGAAGGAGTGGATAGAAGAGGGTTTTATCTCTGTGAACCATTGTCAAGCAAACCCCTTCAGGATGGTGGTGAAGGCTCTACACATGATCTCATCAGGCACATTGTGGAGTTACATAAGAGATTTGTATGTGTCAAGATGGTCGAGGGAGTCTTTGGTACCGTTGAAGATCTCTATCGTAGGCATCTTGAACTTCAAGAATAAAGAATAATTGACTATATCCGAAATGAAAGGTGTGTCAGTACGTCTTACCAGGTAATCCACCGTCTCAAGCGCCAGTGCCTTGATGGCATTGAGGGCATCACCGAGTTGATTTTGCACCTTTCTGATCTTCTCGTCCCATTGATTGGGGACATCGCAGTGGAGTGGTGGTACTGCTTTCATGATCACTATATTGGCTCTCTTCTTCATCCTCCTATGCAGGTAGGTGTGGAGGGGGAACACGTGAGCTTCCTGTGCACTAACGAGGGACTGCTAGGTGAGGGGTGCCCTTGGCGTGGCCCTAGGGCATTCTGGCGAGGGGCCGCATTGTAAGGGGCTACCTGGCACCTAGAAGGGATAGGTTGCTGCTCCTCTCCTATTGAAAGGAGTGGGGCTCCTCCTACGGGGTAAGGGGCAACGCCTCCCTGGGCGAGCATCTACTAAATGATCTACTGGTTTTAGTTTACTAGCAGTTGCACGGTCTATAAGAGTTGTTGCCCGACAACGGGAGTCGCCATAGCAGATGGTTCCGAGGGTGCGAGGGAAGGCGGGGCCTCTTCCCAGTGGGCCAAATTATTATCTCCTGGTTGCTGACTCATGGATATGGTTGCGATTACCATGGATTAAAGAGAATAGAAAACCTAGTCATTTTCCACAGACAGCGCTAAACTAATGATGCACAAATTGGTCTCGTGCAAGATCAACAGTCGAGTATACGTAAGGGTGTAATTAATAAGCAATAAATAGGCAATCAATGGCAAAATGGTAAATATAAACAGACACACTGATATATAGTATTTCGGTCCGGGTGACCTACTCCACTCTCGAGAAACGGCAACGGTGCTGGAGGTGTTTTATTGATGAATAAAGTAACTGGGAGAATATACTCGGGGATTATTACAGTGTTGTAGGAGAGAGAAACTAGGGAGGTGTAGAGAGGACAAGAAGTAGAGGTCTCAAGGTCATGCCCTCTATGTGGAGAGGGTTAACATTATATAGGTATAGTGAGGCAGTGAGGCAATGACGTGATGGAGATGGCACTATTCTTTTAGTAAGTACAATCAAGGTAGGATTAGATTTCCATGAGTGCGTATCCCGATAGTTTCTCCCTCATGCTCCTATCTCTCCGGTCCTCTTGGATGCTGAACTGGATCGGACTGGCAAAGTGGGCCTGGGCCGCCTTTTAGTCGACTTAGGCCTTCTTGACTTATTGGGCCTAGCCCAGTTGATTTTGGGCTCATCAATTACAATATAAATAATCAATCTAGAATTTTTTATTATTTTTTTAAATCAATGATTAGTTTTTTTTGAAAAAATACATAGTTTATATCCAAGATTCATTCGTTCTTGATTGAGAAACCCTAGTTCTTGAGAAATACATGAGTTATATACAAGATTGATTCGTTCTTCATTTAAACACTAGTTCTTCATTCTTAATCATGCCTATAAGATGGATCTAGAATGTTTTTACATTCCTTTTGAATATTTGTTTCAATTCTTGAATAAACACATGATTTAATTTCAAAATTGATAGCTCTTGATTCAAAACTCTAGATCTTGAATATCGTGAATGTGAAAGTTTCTTTTTACGATCTTTTGCATGTTTCACTCTAATTATTCTTTTCCTTGAGAATTGTGGGACTTTGAATTTTGGTATATGTGATTTTTGTGGAAAGGGGTTGTAATTATCTCTTATATGGGTGGGTTTGATAAACATGGATTACACTAAATGTGTATCATAATGTGTTCAGAGTTTTTTTACCTTGAGGGCTTTGATGGTTGACTAACACTCGTAGGGGGTTTGGTTTCTTGCGAGGGCCAACCACTATTTGTTCACGTAGGTTTGAGGCTGAGAGCTAGTATACTATTCCTGAGAAGGATTTTTCAATGTTGAATGAGTTGGTGGGTACATTTCCTAAAGTTG